CCCTCCCCCCCCCCCCTCCCTTCTGACACAACAACGTTACACCTCATTAATCTACTCGGCCTTCGCTTCTTCTCGCTCCACCTATCGTATTTCCAGCCGCACGTTTGAGAATCGGCAGGCGTCCGTCTGCTGAATGCACACTGGGCTGACGCGATACTGGGGTTCTGAGATACGAGCACTGAGTTATACAGTAACCCAGGGTTTTTTGGGGGGGGGTGTGTTTTCCCGACGGGCTGGATTCGAATTAGGTGGTGGTATGGTGTGGTAGGATGTTTATGATTTAGCCGACATGTACAACATACATCGTGGAGGGGGGCATCTAAGCGAGCGAGCGAGTGAGTGAGTGGGTGAGTGGGTGAGTGGGTGAGTGAGTGAGCGAGTGAGTGAGTGAGTGCGCAGGTGGCTTCATTTAAACTCGACTTATGCTTTAATCCAGATTCCTCGACCGCTATTCTTTTTCTCTCGTAGTGTTATGGCCGAAAAGGCTCAATTCCCAACCAGCCTCTCTAAAGGACGGATCACCGCTCTCGACGTATACTTATATACTGGGCTTGATATATCAGACGCCAGACGTCAGATTCAGCTTGCGAAAGTCGCTGCTGGGCCGGGGTGTCGTCAGATTTTTTTTTTTTTTTTACCCCTTTCGAATGAGGCGTAGGTACTCGATCAGAACGCCGCGGCGGCAGATCTGCTTCCGCGCATTCCGCGAAACTTTGTCGGGACGTACGGCTGGCCGGCTTGGTATTTTACTTTGACGAAGATGCTTGCTTGAAGATCAAGTACGGATGGGAATCCAGATTGGTACCACGCATGACTTGATGCTATTAAAGCTTTTTTTTTTCTTTTCTTTTTTTCTTTCAGCCAAGAGCATCAGCATAGCGACGGCAAATTGTTATTCTCATCTCTTGTACCCAAGCCCCCAACAACTTCGACGAGAGCAAGACCCATTGTGGAATCAATACCTTCAAGGCATTAGCTCTCTCATTAGAGAAGCTCGAAGACGTCCACCTATGCTTCGCCTGCGCTAAGCCTAACCGAAATTGCTCCCTGCTACTCATCCAATTATCATTTCTTTCGCTTTTCGTTGTAAACAGCAACTTCACTACGGTAAGGTCTGCTGAGCCTCTCAGTGCAGCACGGCTCTGAACAACTTCCAAGGTCGTAAATGACGGACCTCCTCCCCTCTCAACATTCGTTTTGAGCCTATATACGTTCGTCTCTCCTTTGCGAAATGGTGCACGCCCTTGACTCGAGCTTGAAGAGACCGATTCTCTGATCTCACGGAATCGTCCTTGGGATTTTTTCTCCAATTCAAGTTGTCGAGAACCCGCAAAGACTATGTATGATCTGGAGCATGCATACCACCCTCGCTCCTCAAATAATGTGGAGTGGTGATCTCCATTGCGGACCGAATGATGAACGCCAGGGGGCCTATAAGAAAGGCATTGTTTCAGCAAATCTCGCAAGGACTTTTACCGCATGGCGTTGCTGAAACAGGTCCAGCCAGGCTCACCCGACTCGCAAGAGTAACAAGCGAAGGCTTCCCGGTCGATCCCGCATTCACGTCGCTCCATTTCGTCTTGTGTTTTCCGGCGGATAAGATGATCGTTGTCTGTGCTGCTGCCTGTGCATGACGACGAAGATTATACCTCATTGCGGGAAGATGGGTTCGAAGCTGCCACCTGGAGAATATGTACGTCGCTCCCGCCGGCTCAAAAAAAAAAGGGACTGAACGCTACCTCTATGCGTCCAGACCACGCCGGTATTGCAAAAGATCGTCACTTCTTTAGCATCGGACGTCAATCGAATGGTCTGAGTAGAAAGAACGATCACGAATCCCTTTAATCAACGCCTATTATTCGAGTAATCTGCTCAGTATGTACGACGAGAAAGCGCCATCTACGAAGGGGAAAGCCGAGCGGTTCTTCAGAAATGGCAAATTCGCGTCTTGCCTGACGTTACTGGCGGCCCTCGTTGCATTCTGTCTGTCACTCGTCGCCATACTCTCCACCGGCGACAACAAGCAACTCAGACAATACAGCCTGCTCACCGTACGTTCCGTTCCCCCATCTCTCTCTCTGTCTCCTCGCGATCGATCGATCGATCAATCAATCAAGATAACTGACACGGACTTGCAGCTCAACACGTCCAGACTCTTCCAGGACGTAGTCAAGATAAGGAGTACCAACACCGCTCGCTCCCCAGATCTCATGGCTCTCTCCTCTCCAGACGCAAGCGAGACCGTCGACCCGCCCGTCTCGCCCCAGGTCACCCCCCGAGCGGTGCTACCCGACCGGGTCGAAGCCCGCCAGCTCCCTCCGCCCTCGGACCTCTTTTCCTGGCTCGAGTCCGTCGGCTCTGACTTGCCTCAGCCCACGGGCATTCCCAGGCCCGGAGGAGACCCGGACACGGATCCGGACCCGGACGGGGACGGTGGCAGCGTCGTGCAAGAGCTGCAGGGCCTCTTCAACAACCTGCTCGGGGCTGCGAGCGGAGCCGTAGGGGAGGAGATTATCCAGGTCGTTAATCGCCTCGTCGCTGAAGTCCTGGATGCGCTCGGGATCAAGGATTACTACTCGCTGTACTTGGATGAGTTCTGCAGTGGGGATTACACCGAGAGCGGCGGCATGGATACGGACAAGTGCACTTCTTTCGGTAAGCGATCCTCCTCCTCTTCTTCTCCTTCTCCTTCTCCTTCTCCTTTTCCTCTTCCCTCTCTTTTCCCCGTCCTTTCTCCCCCCTCTCTCCTCTCTCCTCTTTCCCCCCCATCTCCAACCCCCCTACGCCTTAACCACAAACTGACCCAAACCCTGCTCAAAACAAAACAGACAACGCCCTCACACTCCCCGGCAGCAGCGGCAGCAGCTCCACCCTCCAAATCGGCACCACCATCTTCGACTTCTCCGCCCTCAACCTCCCCGCCAAACTCTCTTCCGCCGGCGGCACCATCACGCAGCTCACGCGCGCCCTCCTCGCCCTCCTCGCCCTCGGCACCGCCAGCAGCGGCCTCCTCATCCTCCTCACGCCGCTCCTCACCATCCTCCTCTCCCTCTTCCTCCACCCCAAGCGCCAACCCGCCGTCCGCCTCCTGCTCACCGCTCTCGCCGCCCTGGCCAGCACCTCCCTCCTCACCGTCGCCGCCATCGAGACCGCCATCCTCGTGCTCGTCTCGGGCCTCGTCAACGGCGTCGGCGACGGTCTGGGCATCGAGGTGCAGAGCGGCCGCCGCTACCTCGCTCTCTTGTGGGTGAGTGCCGGGGCCATGCTGCTCGCGACGGCCGTCTGGTTGTGGACGTGGCACGTCGAGTACTACGTGCGGCGGCCCCGGCCGGAGGGGTTCTCCGACGACGGCGATGATGATGATCGGCACTTGTCGTCGTCGTCGTCGTCCGCCTCGGCGGCTAGTGGGGGCGGGAGCGAGTGGGAGGCGGAGAGGGGCAGGCCGGCGTTTCGGAGTCGTCTGGATCCTGGGAGCGTGTTGCATCCGCGGGCGCCGGAGGCGGGAGTTGCATATAGTTAGTTGCATATAGTTAGTTGTATATAGCATTGCAGGCATAGCAAAGTATAGCGAAGTATATAGTATAGTACGCATAATCTCAATATCAATCTCAAAATCAACCTCAATATTTTCTAATATCACTTTCACAATCTCCTCCTAAAACCTTTATACATATAATAAACAACACCCCCCCTTTCCGGCTCAACCCCCTTCACCTCTCATAGCAGATCAAACCACCAAACAAACATACAAC